AATGACTCAATTATACGCGTGCTGTTTGGTTGTACAGCAATACTAGGGAAAGCGCATATGTACTAAACGATGTTGCTAAATTCGCGTTCACAGTTTTCACTATAGAACCGTCGTAGCCGTCTACCATGGTAAACATTGTCAATATAACATTATTAGCTTTTGGGCTTCCTGGATGGATCGGTTCGTTGACTTTTCGCAGGAAGTTTCTGTTGTTTTGGAAAAAATCCACTGCCATGTCAGTAGAGTTTTTTCCTTATAATGAAAGAAAAGTGGGTACGCTTTAATATTCTCGGTATTCCACGAGAAAATCTTCTCCACCACTATTCCTCATGTCAGGGAGGAAAAACCGAACCTAACCAAGGAAGCCCGATCCTATGCAAATATAAGAGTGACTTTGAAGCACTAGGAAATTTCAAGCAGTTCAATCGCAGTGGAGGTGAGGCTTGCGCATTGGTCGGAAGTGCGCTGCAGCATACATGTGGTCGTTGGCTCTAGTCCCTCGTCAGCACTCATCAGGCTACCCATCTCTCCAGGGTCGGCAGATTTGTACCAAACTTCTCAGGGAGGATACCACCTAGGGACGCGTAGGACACAAAAGCACAACGGCGATGATTTTGAAGTGAATGCGTGGATCCTAGCGCAGAAATCAAAAACATCAACGCGCAAAACTCCTGAGGCGTTTTGGATAAATTTCAAAAATCCAAAGATGAACCGGAAGGACGAATGCCTCACTATCACGCGTGACCTGGCGCCCTATTTCAAAATGATATTTTGACCCCGGGGCGTGTCTTGCTCGCGTGAACTACGTGTGGGCCAGTCCCGCACGTAACATCACGGTGAGTGGCCTTTCTGTTTAATATGGCGTCTATTTGAAAGTTTGATCTTCATTAATACTTTAATCTTTTTTTCCACCGAATAATAAAAAGTATTCTAACATAAAGTACGTCCAGGCTCAGGAAGGCGAAGTCCCCGAAACGTCAGCCATCGATCAATAACATCAAAAACAACGACAACGAAGATCTGTACCAACCTCGCGTCAGCTTAAGAAGATCAGTTTATAAGATGACATAAATAAAATATCAACTATCTATACCGAGGTTTATAGAAAGTCGATCTTTCGAGTACACGTATTCATTTTCAAAGAGCGCGTGTGGCGCAGTGGTCGGGAGCGCCCTGCAAAACACACGTGGAATCGTTCCCCGCGCCCGTGGCCCACCAAGCCTTCCATCCCTCTGAGGTAGGTAAATTAGTACCAGACTTGTCTGGGAGGATAGCAGCACTGGCTCGATGCATCGGTAAGTCACCGCGAGTCATTGTAAAAGCCAGATATGCATTCAATCACCTCCAAGGATGCTTAATGAAGTCGAATGCATGGCGCATCCCTTAGAGATTGATCAACGACGAGAACTTTATCCTTTATTCACTTTTAAAGGAACTTCCAATGAATGTTTAGGCAACGGAAGATCCGTTTCATTTTCCCTTGACTTTGACAATGCAGAAATTTCACGAAAAATTCTTAAATCGAGAGATTCAAGTGATCGTAGGGAGCAAATGTGCTTTACTCGAAGAAATGTGATGTGCTCCTTTGTAAAAATCGACGTAATTGCAAAGACGTGTTTCTAAATTTGCAGCTCTCTACGAAGGGTGTGTTTTCTGTTGTGTGGGTGGGACCTTGTTTAACTAAGACCTGATACAACGGTATCCCACATGGTCCCTTTTCAAGTAGTGAGTTCAGAAAATGATATGGCAAGCCCAAGAAATTGGAGCAGAACTCTGTCACTTCCATATCATAGTGGATAGTTGGAATCCATCTTTCTCTCAGTGTGATAAGAAAAGGATAAAGCTCTCGGCGTTAGTCCCTGATGAATGCGCTATGTAGTCAACTTCATTATGCATGGTTAGCCGTGACTGAATCCATATTGGGCTTATAGAGTGAATTAACGGTGGCCTACCGATGTACTTATTCAGTGTTGCTATCCTTTCAGAGAAGTCTGGAACCAATTTACCGACTCCAAAGGAATGGAAAGTTTAGTGAGCCTAGTGCGTGGGATCGAATCCATGTGTTTCAAGACCACTGCGCTACGGGCGCCTTTTTTCAACATTATATTGATAACAGTGATAGCAGAACATTGTATCTGTAAAGATTACGATGGCATCTCTCTAGATATACTCCATGGGAGGCTTGCATCAGTCTTTTACCTCCCGCACTGTTGCAAATACACCCGAAAATCTCTTCTGTACCTGTTATTTATCACTAAACGTGTGAGGGCAAGGCAAGGCAAGGCAAGGCAATATATTACCCTCCAGTCTACAAACCACTCCACCAATCAACATTAACCCTTCTTTTAAATTTGCTGCCTATTACAATTTTTCTTGGGAGAGGGGGGGGGGGGCTGTGACTGTGATACAAACACAATAATGCTGAGATAGTTGCAAAACTCCGGACCGCAGGTGTCTGCGGTGGCGAACGAAAGCGCTATTACCCCTTCCTGAGGCTAACGCGTTCACCACCACACCATGCGAATCGTTCGTTTGGCCTTTCTCTCAACTAGTTTATCATTCAACATATTAGTCAGTGAGAGAACATGACATAGCCTTAAATTGCAGTCCACAAATGGGGTCGGTGGATGGTAAATGAAACAACAAACGGAATGGCAGCGGTAGGACAAACTCAATATTTGAAAACGAGACATTTGTGTGCATGACTCTGCATATTCCTTCGTTACAAAATCTCCTTCGAACAAGTGTGCAGGAACCATGTGCATACTTGCCGGTCTCCATTTGTGTCCTTCACAGTGCTTAAACGGTCCCCTTTTGCGCCTCTGTACGGACCAATTCACCATGACTGTGTATGTCCGCCCTAGTCGCACATCTCATCAATGGCGCGACCTTCCGGTCATGTCGTAACACGGCGCTTTGGACTGGAATCAGCACTATGACTGCGCTCCGTATTCTCTGCGGTTTTAATCCTCGTTTTTAACGTGTAAGAAGCATCAAAGTACGGACGGAATAAAGGAACAACACAAAGGAACTTTCGTATTTTTAGAGGTTATAACTATGAAGGAAATTGCTAGTCTGAAACTTCTCTCTTCTCTTGGGTCATTATTCTTGTTATTGATTTTCCAAACACGCCAACTGGTAAGTCTGGTCTGATTAATTTGTTTTGACAAAAATAACCTTCTGGCCATATCAGAGGAAATCTTGGGAATCGTTCTATTATACTCTGGCGATCGACTTTCAATGAACCTCGGCATTGTTCAACAAACCAGTGTTTGTTAATGAAGAAACACGAGGTTGTTAATAAAGGCTAAAAGCTCTCTGCGTTGAGCAATCCCTGAGGGATGCGCCATGAATTCGACTTCATTAACTATCGTTGGAGGTGATTGAATGCGTATCTGGTGTTTACAATGATTCGCGGTGGCCTACCGATGTATCGAGCCAGTGCTGCTATCCTCCCAGACAAGTCTGGTACCAATTTGCCCACTCCGGAGAGATGGAAGGCTTGATGGGCCATGGGCACCGGGATTGATTCCACGTGCGTGTCGCAGTGGCACTTTCAACGACTGCGCCACACACGCCTCGACGTTATTAATAACAAGATCTATTCAGTACTGGTTGATGTTTCGACAGTTTCCCCTGCCTCAGAGCCTAAAAAGGTTAAACCGACAAACTCTCTACTCAGCTAAACACTGTCAGAAACCCTTATTCTATTTCATTTTAAATGACCCTTTATCACATCTATGCGAATCCCAGCACCTCTTGCTTTCGATTTGTTTCTTTCGCATTTATCGACCACAAGATCTTTGAACACGTCGCACGTCGATTCGGTTATTACTGGAGGATTTCATCTTCTTTATGAATGTTATAGATCGATGGTCGGATCGATTCCTTTAGCAATGTTAGAAATAGTCGAGCTAATACGTTTCCAAGTGGAATGCAGGAGAGCGTTGGTGCGGTGGTCAAACTACCGCCTTTGTTTCCTCGTCAACAGCACCATTAACCACTGCCCTTAACCTCATTTTTGACTAATAACCATCTATAGATTTCATGAACTACTCATAGTTGTCGTTACCATAGACATTTGACTTCCGCTGTCTCATTCAATTTCTCGTTTTTGAAAACCCGAGAGGTTTGTCTTGACATGCAGCTCACCCTAACAGTTATTTCCAAAACCTCGTGGCAGAACCCTAAAACCACTCATGACCACTAAAGCCATGCTTATAATATCACTTTGCGATTGTCAAAATAACAAGTGAAGGACACTATTCACACTGACTTCATTTGGTCAAGGCGGATCTATATATGAGTAAGAGCTCCTGTACAGCAGTGATATGTACAACATTCATAGCAGTATTACAAAAATGATAAATCAGATGGACATGGAGAAGCACAGTAATCCACAAAACGCGGTAGCACCATTCCGAGGTTATATCGCTGGTTCACGACTTTCTGACGCATTGGTACTTTTGGACGATAGTAACAATACTGTCACTTTTCTACTTACTGCTTACTCTTTTTTAATGGCACGGTATTAGTTTGACATATAACCATAGTGACGATGAGATATTTGCAAAACTCCGGATCCCTGATGTCTACAATGGAGATTGAACACGCTATTACCCTTTCCAGGTGGTAACGCGTTCACCACCACACCATGCGGGTCCTTTGTTTCGCTTTTCTCTGAGCCGTGTTATTAACAATACTAAATTCGACTACTACATCTAGAACTTACCAAACTTAAGTAATCTTTATGCTTAACAGATTGGAAAAAATACCAGAAACTGATGGAAGTCACAATGAACATTCTCAGTTTCAAAGAGATACAGTAATCAACATTGGTCACCTATTAACGACGAACGAATAAAATTGGAATACGAGGGATAGAGAGGAAGGGAATGAAAAAATTATGTAAACATTGTAAACGAGACACTGAAAGTCAGGGAAACATCACCCAAACGAACTAAAAGATCACAATTATGGAAAAACAACACGAGATCTCTCTAAACCTCTGGTCCTTCACCACCTGGTACAAGCATTGTAATGTGATTTCCATTTAGTAAGATGGTATCGAGTTTCGTTACTCGTTTTCCGTCTGCGGTTTGCTCGTACTCAACCTAGTAAAGGTAGGTGGAATAGAAGTAATGTCACTAAAAGGTTCTTTATTCCTTGAAGTACTTAAAATGAATGTAGTAAGGCAATGGCAAAACACTGGTAGGATAATCAAGAGGTTTAAACCAATAAAAACCATCTAAAACTGTAGAAATAGTGACATAACAACGTAACAAATAAGGGAATTGAGAACTTGTAAGTCATACCACATCTTCCAAAACCATGTTCACGTAGTCATCAAATCCCATTAATGTACCAACAATCTCTTTTTCTCCTAAAGAAAATATGATATCAGACAGTCACTGATTTCTGAATTCACTGCGTAATGATGCTGAAATATGTGCAAAACTCCGGACCGCAGGTGTTTACAGTGTTGACCGAACACACTACCACCCTTTCCGAGTGCTAACGCGCACACCACCACACCACGGGAATCCTTCGTTTCCCCTGTCTCTCAGCCGTGTTACTGACCTAAAGGTGCTATCAGCAATCACCGGTCAATGGATTGATCTGGGAGCCCTAGTTTGCATTTAACCTAGTTAAACTGAGGCTATATTTGAAAGCACAATGTTAACATAATTGAATGTTGCGCTATGCTAAGCCCAGGATGTTGGCGATTTAAGGTTCAATTATCTCCACGTATACAAAAGTTCATCGTTTACTCGACAGTGATCAGATAAGAAAAGACGTTCCTAACCTCATCAGTTATAGTTCTTATATTCTTAGAGTTCTATAGTTATTGTTAAGTTCATAAATTATATGTTGTATACTATAGAATTATGTTATGTTATAGTATCATGCACAATTAAATTCCACCACAGTATGAACATACTGGTTTTCAACCACAATGATACTCAGATAAGCGCAAAACTTGGGCCTCGGGCCAGATCGAACCACTAAACGCTGCCATCAGCAGTCACCCGTCAGCGGGATTAATTTTACTGGTTATCACTTCATGTTCAGAATCTTCACGATATGGTTTAAATACTTTCGCAAACAACGCCATTTAGAAAATAGCTACCAGGGGGACCATTTTTTTCATACTAACATACATTACCTTTCATGATAACCCATATCCTTGATCCAATACATTTGTCTACCAACTCCAGCGGTAACAAAGTTGACGGATTCGTCGTTGTAGACGCCATTCTGCAAATTATGTGTGTACAGTTCCATATCAGAGATTCCAGAAACCAACTAACAAAAGGTATTATACATCATCAAAACCGCTACGCTACGCGATACGCCAACAGGTACTTGAAGAAATATCATCTAGTGAAAAACACCGACTATCTACTCCATGAAAGGTTCTGAGGATGTCCCTGCTCCATTATCCTTGCTGGCTTGGAATATTCTATTACCTCCACACCTACTCAATTCATTATGTAGTACTGTTGTATACCTGTCAACGATTCACCACCACGTTGTACATGGGAAGTGCTCCTATGTGTCGGGGTGCGATGTTCCAGTCCGATGGGATTCATACCCCAACAGTGTCTCCCAAGCTGTGAAAGAATTCGACGTTCCCACCAAGAAGCCCATCTAAGAGTAAACCAATACCAGGGTCCACCACTGTCTTAGTATCAAACTAGTCGCATAGTGCCAAATATCCCCCTTATCCAGAAGGGCTGCGACTACCTGGGGTGGTGACGACCTGGGCAGACACCGCCAAGGTTGACCTCGAGACTCCAGGGAAGCACAGAACCTAAACCAGCAAAACTCCGAAAAAATGGGAATTATGCTAGGGTTCGTACAACCAGTGAAGATGCGCCATCCAAGTACACAAGTAAATACTGCCGTATATCTCTGAGTTAAACTCGTATGTGGGACATACTATGGACATCGACTCCATCAAAATAGAACGATCAACCAACGGCTGACCTCACAAAGGAAGCGGTGCTATAAACTCATCAAAAAAACGCTCTAGCACTTACTTCGATAGAACACCTGAAGCTACCTCAAGCACCCACAATCCGTACAACAGTCAATGACTATTCACAACTTTTCTCTAGCGACTTAATCAGCCCGATAAGTGTAAATGTACCGCGTGAAGAGTTCAATGGTTCGTGGCGAATATCATCTATTGACTAACGAGTTTAAACGTAACACGTACAAGAAGTCGACATCTATTTCTTAGGAAAGAGCCACTTATCGTTGGGAATGGTAGTGATCCTTCTAAACTAACAGCACCAAATACTAGACTCGTCCGCGCTTGACCGATCCAGGCAATATATACAACTAATAATAAAAACTAGTATGTCATCGAAATACAAAGTGCGATAAAGCAGCAAACAGTAACGCAAATTCCTGACAAAAAGGATTCATTCCTCAGGACAAATACATTCAAACAGGAAAGTATTAGATATTATCAGAGAATAGCAGCGTAAACTAATACTTTGGTGCATTTCACAAATAGAAAGAAGCTTTTTTCTAAAAAAGCCTGGTTATGTGAGTATATAATCATTGGTCACACATTGAACTGGAAGAACCAAGAAACAAAAAGCGATAACCTAGCAGATCATCCGATACAACCATTTTCGTGTTTAGAAGACGAATACAAAAAGAATCAGTGGTGTCAAACAAGAAGAGAATGCTATGCTTCGTTAAAGCCCTTAAATATATCGTGACAAATATAATAACGATAGCACTACTAAAAATTGGCATTGGAAGACATTAATATGGTACGGCACATAACGAGAACATCGGATGCACCTTTGCAAGGGCAAAAAAAAAAGAAAAAACTCTATAGTTATTGCAACGCAATTCAAGAAATACGTACTGATCGGCGGAAAAGGCAAAACGCTCAAGCATGTGAGTAAAGAGACAAAAAGAAAAAAGAAAACTATAAACAAGTCATTCAAACTCTCAAAAAACCACTATTTGTAAAAGACAACACGGAAGCACTGCTTGTTAAGAACTTCGACTTATTGTTCCTCTTCGTCAGGTGCAACGAAACCCTCTTCGGTTTCATACAAAATTTCCAGAATCACCGGCACGGCTACGGTACCAATCGATTCATTATCCCCACATATTACCTGAAAAACATCCAAAATTACCCACATTAGTGCAAGCGGTGAAAACGGATTAACAGAACTGAAAATATCTAAACCTCAATACATCGTAGTTTCTTGAAGTAAAAATCGCGCTCCTGCTCAATGATGCTCATTTCAGCTTCATATTCTGCCACTTGACGAGTGAGCTAAACAATGGTTCAAATTTGATATGGTAATCATAAAAACAATGACATCACAATAAAAAGGAACATGACATTTCAGTTAACAGAACGAACGTTCACATATTGTTCAAGAAGCCTAGTTTCAGACCACTAAAAATATTTTTGTTCACGAATGTGTCTCTATGAGACAAACTTACGGTCAAGGTATCTCCAGTTAAGAAATCAGTTCAAGGACTGACGCTCCACTTTAACAATCTGGCAATCTACTGTTGAAATAGACAAAGACTAGTGTTTGCTCGTGTTTGCTGAACAGAAGTAGAAAGAATTATTCAATCAATGCCGAGGTTAATAGAAAGTCGGACATGGGAGTTACGAAGGTTAGTAGTACCTGATAAAGCAAACAAAAGCACATACAAGTTCTCTATGATCTCAGTGTTGATCAATCCCTTAGGGATGCGTCATGCATTCGACTTCACCAAGCATCGTTGGAGATGAGTGAATGCAGAACTAGCGTTTACAATGACTCGCGGTGGCCAACCGATGTACCGAGCCAGTGCTACCATCCTCCCAGACAAATACGATATCAACCTGCCTACGCGGGAACGATAGAAGGCTTGGTGAGGCGGGGACGCGGGAATCGATCCCGTGCGTATTGTAGGGCGTCTCCGACCACTGCGCCACACGCCCTCTACACAAGCACATATCTTGATTTATTAATGAGCTGTTATAAGCTACAAAAATATTATGACCAAAACTTTATCGCCATCTCTTTTTTCAAAACCATAACGATTTCACCTAAACATGACTACATCGGAGGTCTACTGCAGCCCATTCTACTGTATGCTTCAGCTGGACAAACATCTTAAGAAATAACTCCTGTGGAAGCTCGATTCATTAAGGAACGTAATGACGTCGAAACGTTTGTCAGCAAACCAAGATAAGTGATTTTTTCTGTTTTTTTGAGATAGCAAACTTTATGGACACTGAACCTTGGATGCTCAAAGATTAAAGTTTAAATTAAGTTGTAAGCTTCTAAAAGGATCTCATAAGTCGCAATTTATAGTAATGTTAGTAGTAGACATATCTTTTCATCCTTATAGGATTTTTACAAATACGGTGTCGAAATTGGCACAACTAACCATTGTTACCCGTCCTGTAACTCATCAACAAACAAAGATATGGGCACCTCATGAAGAGATTAAACAAAAACCAGTTTTTAAAAACAAAGCCATACTTCGTCAACTTTCTCTCTTAATTGCTTCAGTTCCATAGCATCACTTGATGAGATTGTTCCAGAATGGTTGGCTCCTGGCTCAGGCTGAACAAAAAACGGACATAAACCAATACAAAGCTCAAACAGTTTAATCAAGATAACTAACATCTTGAACACGAAATTTAATTGTAAACAAGAGACAGCTATGATGTAACAAAACATCGGTAATTCGTGCCCACGTCTACTTCTACCTAGAGATCACTACTCTAAGAAGCCTAACCGCGTATATAATCTCTATACCTCACTACGCATAATCTGTAGGGTAACGAGACTACCACGATCCTTCTTCGAGTTCTACGCGTGATTCGCTAACCAATTTGCGTTAGTTTGCCTATATGAAAACTACGAAATAATCCCTTACTAGTTAGAAACATATAAGGAACTATAGGCACGGATATTCAACTTCGCTTTCCATGCTTCTACACCGAATAAATTTCGAGAAAGTTGTGGTCACAACTAAAGGATAACAAAACAGGAAGAGTTAGTCTTTGATGAATTTAACTCCGACGCAATATCTACCCACCAAAATCGCGAATAAAAGGAAGATTAAGACTAAGAACGCGGCTATTTGAATAAAAGGATAAACGATAACGTTATGGAAATGATTTACGACGAACTATATATCTTACCCCAAAAACAACAATAGATCTTTTAGGTGACAAACATTGGCCAACATCTTGACCAGTAAAACGAGTCAATTCACAGCGAATGAAAATACGTCTGCCAAGAAACTGTTTATTTACGAATGTACAAGAAAAACAAAAACATCGCTATCAGAGGTTATTTCAAATCAAATATAATATTACCTAACAGTAAGAATTACAACTTCCATATTTTAAAAAATAAACAAACTTACAAAAATTTTTTTACTCCTAAAATATATATATTCTTGTATATATATATACATGTATATGTATGTATATTACAACTATATCTCATGAAACTCAAATTGCATTTGGTTTTTCCGATTCCGATTCCGATTCAACGTAAAAGAAACAAAATTAGGCATTGAAAACTATGCCCTACCTTCTGCGGAACGTTGTTGTTCGTCTTTGTGGAAGACAACGATGACGATGCACAACTTAATGTAGCAGGACGTGATTTGGTTGAAGTTGTGTTGCCGGTAGGAGCTGTATTGAGAGTGTAGTTAGAAGCGTTCCGAGATGGCGGATTAGTTCTTCTAAAATGGGACATTCTTATTCCAACAATACAAAGAACCTGAGTCCATGTTCATCTACCAGTGCTTCTAAAAACACTATTCCAAATAATGGGTACTCGTTATGTCGACAACTCCGAAGATATTGAGCAATTAGTGGACTTTTCGTTTAATATCGTAGTGACCAAAAATCTCCGTGACCGGATCAACATACGTCGTAGTTGTGTAAGTAGTCCGTGTAGGTGTCTGAATTCGTTTAGCCTTTTCATTCTGGACGCTTGGCTTTCCTCCGACTTGCTCAACTGGTAACGGCTCTCCACCACGAGCATCCAGTGGGTTATACTCATGTCCATCATAATTAGCGTCGAAAAACTTTTTGAACCACTGCAGGAATTCAAAGTTATCCTAAAATTTAGAGTTTTCCAATCACATGCTCAGACTCACTGTAAAACTCCTTACCACTCCAACAATAGTTCAATACATTGGTCGACTTGTTTTTAAAAGCGCCAAGAGAAATCTCTATCCCATCCTTATCTTTCTAGATTTTTGGTTAAAAAATTCTTACTTCTTATCAACAAATAACGCCTAAGGCTTGATTTTGTGGAGGACGGGGGAGGGGGTAGAGGAGAGGACCAGAAACTTCACCCAAATTTTGCCCGCCCGCGGTGAGCAAAATTGTGCGCAGGGCAACAATGGATGCGCTTTGCGCAATGGTCGAAGGCGCTCTGCAATACATATCGGATCTTTTCCCGCACTCCTGGCCCACCAAACCACCGATTCCTACGGGGTCGCTAAATTGGTTCCAGACTTGTCTGGGAGGATAGCAGCACTGGCTCGATACATCGGCAGGCCACCGCGAGCAAAGGCCAGATATGCATTCGATAACCTCCAACGATGATTAATGATGTCGAATGCATGGCGCATCCTTAAGGGATTGATCAATGCCGAGAGCTCCTAAACTTTTTTTACGGTACGAATCATGTGAGATGTATGTGAAATTGCAAAATTTTTTGCAAAACCTAATAAAACCTCAGAATGAGTTCTTATTCAATTACTAAAACATTCTTTTAACACTTCGTTGAGAGATTTCACTCTTGTACAATTTTCGCTTTTTTTTCATGTGGTCTAAACGCGCATTCACCCCCCCCCCCCCCCCTCTAATATTTTGTCACATTGAAAGATAGAAAGAGGCAGAAAAGCCTTTTCAGTCTATTTCAAATATAACCAAATGCAATGCAATGCGAAAAAAACTCCCTATACCTGAAATTTTCCTTTAATGAGTTTATCAACGGGGACGATTTTCTCGACACCAAGACTTTTCCATGAAGTCTGCACAAGCTTCCAGTTCCCAAGCCAATCCAATTCAAGATGTGAATTCCATTTCACTTTCTTGAGCGAAATAGATCCAGGAAAAAGGAAGTCCGTGAACTAAAGGATCAAGTAGACATTCGATTGATCACATGCTCCTATTTCAGGATGGTTATGTAAAAACTGGGAGTGCAACTAAAATAAGGGAAAAAACAGCTTTTTAACTGAGTCAACTTCACATGCAAGGAAAGAAACAATACCACAACAGTAATTCCCATGACCGACTTTCTGTTAACCTCGGCATTAATTGATAATTCAATGTTTTTCATCAATAAGCAGACACG